CGTGTCTGTGTCGGACACCGACACTCTTTGGACACTCTTAGGACACTCTTAGGATACGTGTCCGACAATTTTCAAAACGTGTCCTATTTTTAAAATTTTTTTAAAGATCCAGACACTCTTTGGACACTTTGAGGACACACTTATCTATCAATTAGACACATGTGAAACTAATTATAAATTCGAACAAAAGAACTTAAGATACAATAATAAAACAAAAACCATATAAATTTATAGGAATTAGTGTTATATTTCATTTTTTTTATTATTTTTGAATGATATATTTATATAAATATATATATTTATATATTTCATGCTTGTCCCCCACGTGTCGTATCCTGCATTTTTTGAAAATTAACGTGTCGGCGTATCCGTGTCGTATTCGTGTTGTGTCACGTGTCCGTGTCCGTGCTTCTTAGACTTGGAGTACCCGATACTTCAAAATTAAGTATCCGATACTCCAAAATTAATGAAAAAATAATTAAAAAGTATCCGATACTTTTAATAAGTATCCGATACGTATTCGCGAGTATCCAAGGAGTATCGGTATCCGATACGGATACGTCACCCTATTTGAAGTATCCGTGCTTCATAGAATGAATCACATATGCTTGTAAGCTTACTTATAATAGACTAAACCTAATACTTGTAGGAAAAGTAATTCTAAAATAAACTAGGAAACTTAAATCCACACAAATTAGGAAACCTAAGAGACTAAAATTCTAAACTACATAAAATCCTAGTCAAAATCTAATTCTAAAATAATAAAATTAAGAAATGTAAAAATTATAGAATTTTGTTCTACATATTTCTTGCCTTTTGTCAGTCCAATTGTTTCAAGAAGTCTTCGGCTACTTGTTCTACATCATAATAATAATAGAAAAATAAAATTAAATAGAAATGACAAAATAATCTGGGTCTTTTTATTGAAGAATTAAATACAGAATAAACTACAACAATATGAATAGGTTAAATAATGGATTCCTACAAACAAAATCATTAATAGGACGAATTAGTAACATAGATAAATAAATATTAGAACTTGTTGAAGTAAATTTAACTTTGAAAAATAAAGAACAAATGACAAGAGAAGCAAACCAAAGCCTGTGGTTTACATAGTTTCCTTAAAACATATTCGCTACCTCGCTAAAGGATGCTGGAAGAAAATCGGCATCTGTCTCTCAGAATACGACGGTTGTGACTAGCTACTACAGGAGCACCTCCTGGATAGCTTTGGTGAACTAATTAAGTGCAACACTCTCTCTCTAACAAGAATCAAAGATGGGACTAGTAAAAAGAAGATAGGAAAAAAAAAAAATTCTAAATTTTACTTGTTGTAAACATAGCTAACTTTATCTAAAGAAAATCACAAATTTTCCATCACAAAAATCATCTCTATGTCATATTTTTAAGTTGGAGGGGAAAGACCCTTTTCATATTTATAGATAAGGGGTCTTAGCTATGAAGGCTACCATAAAACCTAATATCAATGGCCATCAACTCTAGCCATTAGGGCTAGAGTTACAAAGATGAAAAACTTCCATGTGCATAACATATATAATTAAATATGTATATAATGTTATTTAAACCTAATGGGTCGCAAAACAGACATGGGTGTTGGGTCACAACCCGATCCAGACCTAATCTTAAACACATGCACAAGCTAATCTCAACACAAAGCCCAAGCTCAAAACTAGGTCCAAAGCCAAGTCCATACCCAACACATGTTCATTTAATTGATGTCTACTTTATGAGACAATTCTCATTCACAACTCAATATTATTTTATATTATAATCTTCTCACTTAAGAGAATACAACCCCACTCGGACCCACCTCAATCGGCGGTTGAGTCCCACTTTAATTTCGAATTATAGTTGCCGAAAACCATTATTTTCCTACACTATCAACCGTAGGGTATATTTATGTAGACAATACAATTACACAAATAACTCCAGTTGATTTGATTATTTACAACCAATCATAGGTTTATTGCAGCACTTTTAGACAAACCGAGAGGGAAATAAATAATACATCAGCGGTTTCACTTAAAACCGCAGGTATAATACCTGATTTTTACTAACATACCCGCGGTCGAAAAATGCGGCTATTATTATTTATAGCAGCATTGGTTGCTGATTGCTGCTGAAAATGCTACAATAGACACATTTTCTTGTAGTGTGTGTTCATATTAAACGGGGAACTAACTGTACCCGTGGAAGAGCACCAGCAATCTAGGCTTTGGCAGTTCAGTGCAAGTATATGTTCTACCTTGGCTGCTAATAACTCATTCATCAACCACACCAGGAACAAATAAAAAATGAAAAATAAATAAAGAACAAGAATGAAAACCATTCATAAGTTCTACATAAAAAATTCTATAATAATAATGGGGAATCTTCATTGTGCAAATACTTATTTAGTAGTCGTAGCTTTCTATGAAACAGGTTCAATGCACTTCTGATCCAACAGATCAAGGTGATCAAAAGAATATTGGAAACTTATTTCCCACTTGTTGATCACATCAATGATTAAAATTAATACTGCTTTTGCCTAGGAGAAAAAACAATTATAACTAATTAATAATGCATTTTGCCAATCATATGAGCATCAACAGCCAAGTTACATCAAGAACAAATTAATCATGTGGAAAGGATACAGAAATGATGTCCAGACAACATCCATAATAAGATAAAGAAGGTTTAATGCACTCCTAAGAGGTAAAATGCTAATCTCAAACTATAATCAATTGCCGAGGTTTTCTAAAAACAGCTATCAAATATTTTGTCCTAACCTTTATCATCAAAAAAATTACGCTTTATAGGCCAAACATTTATGAGATCAAAGATCATAAAATCAGCAAGTAAAAATATGACAATATCCCAAAGATTAGGCACAAATTAACAGCATACAATAAATGATATGTGCAGGAACCTGTTATGTGCTCACTTTAAGTTAATGAACCTGCTTCTATGTTTCAAAGGCATCCAGGAAAAGCATCAACACAGCTGCAACAACTGGAACGAGCCTCATTTATTCACAAAGCTAGAGTTGGGTGAAAGTGAAACCATCCTTTTTACCCAAAACAATAATCTCAATTATCCATCATAGGTGTTGTTATCCAAAACCATTAAAAAAAACAAAAACAATACACAACAAAAAAAATAAAATAATGGCTTCAATAAGCCAAACTTGGCTAATATGAAGTGTAGATGAAGAGAGACACAGTCTCTTGTCCTACCAAGAACAATCAACCATGTCCATATAAGTCTAAGAATGACACCAATACCAACTTAACAAATTATACAGAAATGAACTAGAAAGTAAAGATAAGTTGGCCAACATTTAGCACCCTAAAATAATAGCTTCACACATAAAATGAGAAATGCTGACCTAATGACCTTCAAATCGTTATTCCACCAGTTTTCTGGACATATTTCATGCATAGAACTCATCTCAATGTCCTGATCAGATTAAGCCAGAATGCAGAACTCTACATTGTTGTATGCACAAATCATGAATTTTTCACAAATGATAGAAAATGAAGTGCATTCAACAGGGAATCAAGTGAAATTTAAGGAAACATTTTAAAGGAAAAACGATGGAATGAAACTTCTAAATAAAGGGTCCGTCTGTTATGTAAATGCAACTTCTATAATGACGATCTTTTAATTGGAGGAGTTTTAATAAAGCTCGGATTTCCATACTGCTTCATTGTATGCTCACTATATATTTAGTGTTTTGGGTGGATCAGTTGGTAAACAGGCTCAAAAATATCAGATCATACTACTCTTGACATATTTTGCATCAAATTTGTGTTTCCATTACCCAATAGGACCTCCTATGAAACAACTGTTGAAGAAAGGTCACTGAAATGCCTATTAAAAGAAAGGGCCTCGTTCAACAAAATTTTCTGCATGATCAAAAGATCCTCTAAAACTGCGTCATCCAAGAGGGATGGTCAAATGGTCTTAAATTTTGAGCAAGAAACAAGGTCACAATAGCACCTGAGAAAACAATGATCTACGTGCTTGATTCTTTCTGCCATATCAAGGTCACCTAATCACCCTTGTACAGGATTCACAGCTTCCTTTGAGAATGAAATTAGAAATAATAAAATAAAAAAAATAAAAAAGGCCACAAATGACCAAGAAGAGGGATTTATCAAAAAAATAAAAATAAATAAATAACCAAGAAGAGGAAGCAATAATTTCTCTTAAGAATAATCAATCAAGAACCCCCATTAATGCTGAAATCAGAAATTCAGACAAGACATGCTCTCCAGCAAAGAGGAGTCTCCAAAATCAAAGCCCCAGAAAAAGAATTATAAAAAGGGAGTCTCCGCATGTAAGGAGGACATATACGCTCAGTGGCTCAATATAACAGCACTCAAACAGGTACAAGGACACCGGCACAATTATTGTGGTTGCTTATTAAAAAAATTTCTCTTCTATATAAATGTCTTTTTAACATAACTACATTTTCAAAGAGATTTGTATTGGATCAAAAGTCAGAAAGGTGACGATCTTATCAAGTTACGAATATTATTGGGGAACGACGTGTCAGTTGAAAAGAGGAGTTTTACACTGAGCACATCAACTCTCATGGTAGACCAGATCAAGAGAATGTCCTATTGACATTAACATAGAAGCAACAAATTAATTCTACAAGAATCATCAACATTGATCAGGAGCACGAGGCTTCCTTGAGAGAAGTAACTGAATGTGTTTTGTATGTGAAATATCATATATGACTAATCTTAACTGAATGAGTTGTTTAGGGTCATTACTTGATATAATGGTAAGAGCTTGACCTGCCAAGCATGAGGATCCAGAGTCAAGTCTAAGAACAGCCACTTTGGCAAATAATGACTGCCAAAGCTTAGATCTGCCTCCTGGTTTACCCCTCCCCCCACCCTCAATTAACAGGGACCAACACTGGGAAATGTCATTTTTATCCGTGATTAATCTCTTTCTTCTTTTCCTTAAGTTCCATGCCCAGTCAAGTCTAAGAACAGCCACTTTGGCAAATAATGACTGCCAAAGCTTAGATCTGCCTCCTGGTTTACCCCTCCCCCCACCCTCAATTAACAGGGACCAACACTGGGAAATGTCATTTTTATCCGTGATTAATCTCTTTCTTTCTTTCCTTAAGTTCCATGCCCAAGCTCCATAAGGTCTGGAACATACCCAGATAACCTTAACAGCTTCGTCAACCCTCTCAAGGCTGCATATAAGTTCCATGCCCAAGCTCCATAAGGTCTGGAACATACCCAGATAACCTTAACAGCTTCGTCAACCCTCTCAAGGCTGCATATATCTCCTCATTCTTTGGATGCCTCTCATCCAAGGAATAGAACTCAACCACAGCATCATCAACCTCAATCAAGCTACAACCTGGCAGTTTTTTAAAACCTGTATTCCTCATTGCAACTTTTAATCGTGCCACATCTTCCCATCTCCTGACATCCCCATAAATATTAGAAAGCATAACATAATTTGCTGGGTTTTTTGGTTCAAGCTCAATAAGCCGTTGGAGAGCTAGTTCAGCCAATTTGATATTTTTATAACACCTACATGCCCCAAGTAAGGCAGTCCAAATAATACCATCTGCTTCAATGGGCATCTTCTTCACAAAATCCACTGCCTGGTCTAAAAGACCAGCTCGAGCCAACATATCAACCATACAACCATAATGTTCAATCTGGGGCATGATTGAGTATTCATCAATCATTGAATAAAAATAGGAAAATCCATCTTCTACCAAACCCATATGAGAGCAAGCACATAAAATGCCTATGAAAGTAATACCATCTGGCTTTTCTGCAGTGTTCTTCATTTGAGAAAACAAGCTTAAAGCATCAGCCCCATGTCCATGCACTGCTAAACCATTTATTATGGTGTTCCAAGATATTAAATCCTTTGTATGCATGCTGTTAAACACATCAATTGCACTATCTATACTCCCACATTTTGCGTACATGTCGACTAAAGCATTCCTAACAAAAATGTTATCTTGATACCCATTGCTCTCTGCATATACATGCACCCAATTACCCAAGTCAAGAGCTCCCAATCTCGCACAGGAAGACAACACAGTCACAAGCGTGGCATCATTAGGACTCACATCAGACTCCCTTAGCATCCTTTTAAAGGCATTGAGAACTTCAAACAAACGGCCATTACGAGCATATCCTCCAATCAGTCCATTCCAAGAAAAAATATTTCTCTCGGGCATCTCCTCAAACAACTTTTCACACCCCTCAACATCCGCATTGTTGGCATAACCATTCAACAAAGTATTCCAAGACATCAAATCTGGGTTTGGCATCCAATCAAAAAGCTTCCTAGCTGCCACCATATCCTTGCATTCAATATAGCCAGAAATCATAGTGTTCCACAATACAATATCACGCTCTGGTGCCAAGTCGAAAAGGCTCCGTGCAGAAACTACATCTCCAAACAAAATATACCCATTAATCATCGAAGTCCACGCAACAACATTCCTCACAAACATTTCACAGAACACTTTATAAGCACAGCCAATTGCACTGCCACTCGCATACAAATCAATCAAAGTGGTTCCAATAAACGGGTTTGATTTGAAACCCATCTTCAATACAAAACAATGCACTTGCTCTCCAGCCTGCAAAGCTAGTAACTTTGCACAAGATTTTAACACCATGGGGAATGTAAAGCAGTTGGGTCTTATATCCAGGCTCTTCATTTGATTGAACAAGACTACAACTTCTCTGTAGAGCTCGTTCTGGACATACCCTTTGAACATAGTATTCCATGGCGCTGTATCTGGATTGGGAATTCCATCAAACATTCGGCGTGCATGATCCATTCTCTTCAATTCTGCGCACGCCGAAACAAATCTTGGCGCGATATATTCATTGTGTGTAAAGCCATGAGTGATTATCTGTGCTTGAATCTGTTGGAGATGTTTTGGGTTCTTACATGATTGCAAAAATGAGATGAATTTCTCTTCAACAAGTCTTTGTGGGGACTTGGGGGCCAAATATAGAGCAATTTTCGCTATTTTTTTAGCAGGAAGTTTTCTTCAGCGGAGTAGTTAATACAGGTAATCTTACCATGTTCGAAGATTGAACTGTTGAATGAGCATTTGAATCGGTTTGGTGTGCTGTGTTGCGTTGTCGGTGTGGTATGGCTTAGCTGATTGATTATGGCCTTTCAAATTAACACTGTTTTTAGACCATGTTTGGAACCAATCAATTTACTTAAAATGTCATTATAATTTGTTAAATTATAATCTTTATTTTATTTCTTTTTTTTTTTTGGCACAAAAATCAAAAGTTTTCAAAAATGTCAATTTTCAAACCAACCTAAAATAGCAGATTTTTTTTTTTTAGATCATAAAAAAATATATAAAAATTCATAATTTTTATCATAAATGTGCAATGAAGATTGAAATTTGACATGTTACAAGTCAGAATGAATTAGCTTTGAAAAATGTCTTGTAGCTTGAAAAGGGAGGGGCTCGAATAACCCGTATTGGTGTTTACCGGACGATCGGCTAGACAACAAGGTGAAATGCTTGTCTACCGCGACTGTCACCTTATCGACCGCACTGTTAGCCTTCTCGCCGAACGATCAGCAAGATGAATTTCGAGCCATTCGGGCTAAGCTCAAATTCAAGTTACGCAGCAGTGTTGATTTGGTTTACAAAATTTAAATTATGAGTAATTTTACAGGCACTTTCTCTAGGCATGTAATATTGTTGTTTTAGTTTGGTTTCAAAATTAGATAAATCACAAATACAATTTATTAAGTTTACTTAAAATACGAATTGCCTCTATAGTTTTGAAAATTATAAATACATTTTTTTCATGAAAGTGAAAGATAATTAGTGGTAATTCCTATTTTATTTTCATAAACACCAAAAAAAAATTAAGAGGATGCTCGCAACTTATTCGTAGATCAATATTAAAAAAAAAACCGCTTAAGCTTATTCACAATTTAAGAGTGTTTTTACCCAAATCTTTAAAATTTACTATGTTAATTTTTTTTATTTTTTTTTTAACTTGAGTGACAAATTTAAATATGTCAATTTGACATTGAAACTCTTTACTCGATATGTCAAATCTATTATTCTATTATTTTTTAAATTTGAACTCATTTATTTTATATGAAAACTTTTTTATTTAAAAAAAAAACAAAAACAAAAAGTTACGAAACGAAAGTATGTCAAATTTGACATGCAAAGATGATGACAAAAACCATATCAGCTTCTGCCACACTGGTCGGAACTCACTCTTGCAGTTAAAATTGGGTGATGCTAACATTAGATGGAGCTGCTCTAATATGAGACATTTTGAAAGAGAATTTAAAATAAAGTGGGATTTCCAAAAAAATTTTGTAGTATTGCATTGAGTTTAGATGGGGCATTACATAAAATATATAAATTTTTGAAAATTTATATGTATATAAGCTCATTTAGAAATAGACTATTTTAGTTGATTTATTAATTTTTTAAACTATTTTAGCTTAATTAAAAAAATTATATTGGAGATGGTAATTTATTTATTTTTTGATAATTGATTTGATTATTATAAGAAAAAAAATAAAATAATTATGAGTTAGATGTAACATTTTATCTTATTAACTATTTAAACACATTTTACTTTTATTAACTATTTTTACTAAATAGCCTCTAGCCAAATAGGGTCTATGCCAAAACATTGGAGGGGTAGGATTCGGACCCTCCTCCGAGGGTTACAATTGGGCAAGTTCAACCTGAGTTCAGTCTAAATTTTTTTAAAGTTTGGACAATATATTTTTAAATTCGGTATAAATTTAGACGAAAATTTAGAAATCAAAATTAAATTTGGACAGACTTAAGCAAAAACATTAAATAACCCAAAACTTGAATTATATATATATATAGATATATATAAAAATATTAAATATTCATATAAATTATTAGTCATTACATGATATTAAAATGATTTAGATTATTAAATTATATTGAATATGTATTATATACACAAGTAATACAATTTTTTTTTTATTCTTATTCATAAATTGTAAAGATTACTATAACGATATATCTCTTATATTTTATAAATTACTTGTTTGATGTTATTAACGATTTTTTAAAAAAAAAATATAAATAGAGTCTAATTTTAATAAATTAATTAAAATTCATGTACAATTTGAGTTTAACTCTGGTTGAACTTAGATAGATAACCTTAGGTTAAAATTTAGGCTTAGACAAGTAGAAATGGCAACGGGGCGGGGCGGAGCCGGGGATTACACTCTTCGTCCCCGATTCCCGATGGTAAATATTTCTCTGTCCCTGGCCCGATTCCCAATGGAGAACCTATCACTATCTCCACCCCGCCCCCTAACGGGGATCGGGTTTCCCTGACCCTGAAAATTCCCCGGACCAAAAAAAAAAGAAAAAGAAAAAAAAGTAAAAGAAAAACAGTAGCAACATTCAACATCCTCAACAACAAACATCATCAACATCCGATCAAACAAAAAAAAAAAAAACAAACAAACATCATCAACATCACCGACCAACATCAACAACACATCATCAACATAATAGAGAGGGAGAGAAATCTGAGTAGAGAGAGAGATCTGTTCAGACCGACTCTGGCATCGCGGAGAGAGAGAGATTAGATTCGGTGCTCTGGCATCGTGGTATCGCGGCAACTCTGATTCTCTCTCTCAAAGAGAGAGGAGAGAGAGAAAGGAGACGGAACAGATGGTGAGGAAGAAAGAACAACAATGCTATAGACCACTAAATCTCTACCACTAACGTTATCACTAATGATGTGGAAAGCAAAAAAAAACCAAAAAAAACAAAACTAAGACACAAAATACATATAGCAATGGGTGAGACTCACTATCACATCATTAGAGCAACCACTAATTAATGGTCTGCATTATTTTTCAAGAAAGAAATTAGAGGGGAGGAAGAAAGAGAGATCAGAGGAGAGGTGAGGTGAGTAAAATAGAGAGAGAGAAGATATGA